ACATACAACATGACAGGATTATAGTTGCCCTGTAGCAAAATAACATGCCTAAAGTGTCTATTTCAATTTGAGTTACATTTCTCATAATTTTGCACGCATCTTAAAAGTACAGATTTAATCATTATTTGATTGCCAATTGTAAAAAAAAATGTACATGTTCCTTCTAAAAAGCTTAAAACAAGGGGGAACTTGCCATTAGATCACCATTACCAGGATAAATTGCATAGCTGGATGAATCCAGTGAAAGTCATATGGAACACATATGAATGAAATCACAGTATATTCTTTCCCTTTACAAAACATTGCGGTAACGTGATGAACAATCACTAACATGTATGAAGAACAACTCCACTATATTCACCTTTTGCACATATCTATATGAATTCATCTCTGTGGCATTGCATGTGCTATCCAAATGTGAGGGTTTTGGAAAACAAAGATGAGCCAATCGGACATACCTTGTAAGCTTCAGTGAGTTTAGACTGATATGTTAGTAATTGAAGTTGTACTGATGGAACAATGACAGAATTTCCTTTTTGCGGCAAACTATCCCTTACAGTAAACAAATGGTCTGTGACACTGATGTAAGATGGAAGCAGACTGTGATCTTGTGGTTGAGCATTGTCTGCTCCCTAATAATCTCATTCTTGGTATATGAACAAAATACCTCCCACACACTGATCCCAACCCCGCTCCAGTACATTTAAATGGGCCGTTTCCTATGTGAACGGACACACAAACACACACACATGCACACAAGAGGCTGTGGCCAAATGCTGGGGACTTCCACTGTCGTTGCTGCCAAGTTTTCCTCTCTACTTCCAAGGAAGACTTTACATAGAAGCATCTCCTGCAGACACACTCAGAAACAGTCACACACACACACACACACATCCATGCAAGGTTCCGAGAGGAGCCAAGAAACACACTGTACTGCCATGTCGATTAAAACCATTTCAGCCAGCAAATCACAATCTGCTGATCTGACGGAAATAAATGTCGCCAGGCGGAGAACAAGGCGACTGATCACCAGTGTGGTTATCATCATCTCTTAAAATGAAGAGTATTTTCATTTAAGCTGCTTTGCATATGACTGTGGGGTGTACCAGCATGTGCTGAGTATTGCTGGTAATAAAAACACCTTGCTTTTGGTCCTGCCACCATAAAGCCTTCCTGCACTCATCTATCTATCTATCTATCTATCTATCTATCTATCTATCTATCTATCTATCTATCTATCTATCTATCTATCTATCTATCTATCTATCTATCTATCTATCTATCTATCTATCTATCTATCTATCTATCTATCTATCTATCTATCTATCTATCTATCTATCTATCTATCTATCTATCTATCTATCTA